CTCCTTGGGTTTCTGAGGCAGTATCACTACGGAAGTAGGATTGCCCAACCTTCCTTCCGAGGAGTGGCTGGTGGGTTTGAACCGCGAGCCTACTGGTTAGCAGTCAAGTGCCTTAGGCACTATACTAACCAGAGCACTTATCACATAATATTTTAACAGTCTGTTTATCTATGTGTATCCCGTACAAGACTATAAACACCTTACAGGTAGAAACAATACATGTCTTGTTCACCATTCTAACCCTCAGCTACTAGAATAAAGTAGATACTCAATATTTGATGAGTGACAAATGGGGGGGAGACATAAAGCTATGGGAAAATTAGTTTTGGCTTAAAATCTGAAAATAAGGAAACAATTCTCAATGTTTTAAATTTCCAAAAATAGGAATGGGTTGCTATGTCTTTAGATGAAGGAAAGACTGGATAATCGCTCAGTGATCTAGATAAAATGACCTCTGAGTGTTCAAACCAGGGCCACTTTTATGTACTGATTTTATGATACCATTGGGCCAGGTAAAGAAATTCTTTCCAAAATGTGCTCGTGAATTATATTCTATGAAAATATCCTACGTTAACTACCTATGTTGAATACAGAATAAAAACATAATTCTTTCTCATGGACAGTATGAATACTCTCAGCATTCGAAAACATTTAACTGAGTATGAAATGAGCCACATGTGAAGCAGCATACTCCTAACACTGGGACCATGATCCATGCCTGTTGAGCTGTTTCAAGACAGTGTGATGTGGTAAGAAAACAAAGGCTGTTGGCTTTGCAGATATACCGACCTGTTTCTGGAACTGCACTTTAATGCTGTAGGGCCATAATAACTCACCAAATCTTTTGGGGGGCTTCTGCTTCTTAATTAAAAAGCTAGGGATGATAATCACCTCAAAGGGTTGAGCAATAACCCTTTTTTTTTTGTTCCTCCTATTCTTCTAAAGTAAGTACTGTCTTGGACCTGTGGAAGCCATCAAGAAATATTTTTAAATCTAGGTCAGTAAAAACACTGGTCTCATTCCTTACCTTGATAGTTTTTCACAGGAGTCATCTTATTATAATCTTCTGACAAAACAAATTCCTGCAAAAGAAAAGAAAAATATTAAGCAAAAAGAAAATCTTTAAGCTAATAACTATATTTCAGCAAAAGCCAACATTATCATAGAATTATATCTAGTATTAATATTTTGCTAATCAAGTCAGTATTTTTATACTTTACAAGTTGTTGTTGTTATTATGTGCCGTCGAGTTGGACCCAACTCATAGCGACCCCTCCTTGGGTTTCCGAGGTGGTATCACTACGGAAGTAGATTGCCCCATCTTCCTTCCGAGGAGTAGCTGGTGGATTTGAACTGCCAGCCTTCGTAGCAATCATAAATACGATCCAATGCAATTACCTAATTTTTACCTTTTACCTCTTACAACACTGGGTTTTATGTGTGTATATATGTGTATACAATGAGAAGAGAACTGGATCAAGCTCAGAGTCTTGATACTGGTCAATTCTGATAATCAGGATTTAAAATACTCATCTCTCAATGATCTCACAGCAAAATATGTTCTCTAACACAGGCAAGGCCCTGGCCAGTAAGCAAATGGAGGCAATTCTCTATGAGATAAATAAGGCAGATATTTTCAAGATTCTGTTTCTAATATCAATTTATCTCCCCTTAGTACAAGCCTCTCAAGGCTGCCTCTTACTGATCCCTGTATTCCTAGGGCACCTGGCACAGTAGGAAATCAACAAATATTGACCAAATATGTGAAAAGCACATCCCAATCTGATCAAATTAGTTTGGATGTGAAATTTATGCAAAAAAATCAGTCTCTACATAGCACATTTTCTATACCCCTCTTTGTGAAGATGCACAAAAGGTGAGAGTGTGTATGCATGGGTGTGTTTCACCTAAGCATCCATGTCTATAGAGACCCATATGTAGAAGCCACACATGTGTTTATTAGCCCTAAGCAGGTTTGGAGTTATTTAGCTTTTTACAAATGCAAAATATTCATATATTCTTAAAGAGTAAGTTGTTAAACATAAGGAAAGCTGCAAAGTATAGCATATCAATGCCTTCACCTGAGCTTAAAGACAAAAGGAGAAACCTTTCAAAACAGTTTTCTTTGATGACTTAAAAAAAGGGGTGGGGAGAGAGTATCTCCATGCCTATTATCTGAGTGTTTACTGAGGCTTGTGTATTACTTGGGGGAAAAAATTATTTCATGATTTTTTTTTGTGATAAATGTCACAAAGAACAAAGCCAAGTGGAAGAATATGTAAGTCAACAAAGTTCCCTTGGTTATTCACTTTTCTACCCTACTCCCATTTAAGAAGCTTATCTACAAATCAATTTTGTTTACTATGACTTTTTTCAGGAATAACATTATACAAATTGTTAATTTTTACAATTCACATCATTATTTCTTCAAGGAGTGGCACTGTATCTCCTCATTTCTAGAGGTCTAACTCACATTTGAACAGAGCAAACAATTTTTTGAAATAAAGTAGCTTTCACGTAAGGAGCTTAGAGTATGAGTAGGAAAACCATACATGTATCTGAGTAACAATTCACTATTACCTTTAATCTCAGGAAGGAGGAAGGAGTGCAACTCTGAGCCCTGTACTTTAGAGGGCCCTAATACCTTAACACACACAATACATGGGTCAAAGGCAGTAGTTGTTAGGTGGACAAGATTTAACCGAGTTCATACAGTTCAGGCTATTTTGAACATACGGAAATGGTTCTCTACCTCAGATAAAAGGTACCTCAATCCCTTCTGGAACAAGGAAGGGCATAAAACAAAACAATTTGATGCAGATCTGCATTTAGTATTTAAAATATACACAGAAATAGAATGATCAGTTCATCATACTGGTAAACTTAATTTTTTATTCATCTGTTTTTCCTATGATATAAAAACACAATCATGGAGAAAATTTGGGAGATTTTATCAACATTTATTTATTTACTTACTTTTGGTCATAGAAACAGAACGCTATTCTAAGAAATGTAACAAGAATAAACACTAAAAAGTCCCTTGTGATATATCTCAAAGGTAATTATTATAAACTGAAGAAAAGTTTATAATAGTTATCACCTTTGAGAAATAGTATCACAAGCACATATATTAAAAAATTTAGAGTTCCAGCAAGATGGCAGACTAGGCAGAAGGACTGCACAGATGCTCTTCAACAAAGAGAAAGGAAACCAATTAACACAGACACAGAGGATAATCTTGGACCCCTGAGCCTTGAACAGAATGATACAAAAGTGGACTAAACCCCAACTAGCAGAAGAATTTGCGTGAAAATACCAAAAAAGGAGACACACGGACCTGCAGTCTGGCAGCAGCCTGAGCAACCTTGATGGCACAGACAACAGGGCTTGGATATTCCCGAGTGGTGGTAGGACCTAAGAATTAAACCAAAAATCACCCTGCTAGCCAGGGACTGCATGGAGGACTGTACACGGTGGCTGGGGAACAAACGGAGAAGGTGAAGAGAAAGGTGGGCTGAGCTGTGACTTTTGCCGATCCGGAGGGTGCCACCATTTTGTAGGTTTAAA